GCCGGCGGCGCCCCGGAATCAAAGTCAAGACGGCATCGTCTTGACTTTAATTCTGGGCCCTGGCCGGGAGCGCCCCGGGGCAGGCGGCCCCTCCGGGGGGCGCCTCCTCGCCCGGCCCGTCGGCCCCGCGGCCGCCCCGGCATCGGCCCCCCGAGCCCCGGGCGTCGTTCCGGGGGGCCGGCGTCGCCCCTGGCTGCGCCGCGCGCGCGGGTCGAGGGGCGCCCCGGCGCGGCTGCTACCCGAGGTGCACGACGAGGGTGGGAGCGGGGGTGTTCTTGTCGTAGAGGAGCTTCTTGCGCTGTGGCACGTTGAGGTGCGCCGCCATGCGCTGGCCAGTCTTGCACCCGAAAGACTGGGTGTGCACGTCTGTGATGCTATCGATGATCGCCCTCGCATCGTCCATGTCTACTCCGGGCTTGCTGTGCCTGCCGAGGTCTGCCTGCAGGCTGGCCGTGAAGGCTGCCCAACTGTCAATGCCGAACACTTTTTCGAACAGTCGGCTCTTCGATGAGGTTGAGCCCGGGGTAGTGATGGTAATGTCCTGTGGCTCGAATTCGATCCGACCGCTGCTCATTTTCTCCACGATCGGTAGGTACGCGCCCCCCACTCCTGCGTGGTTGTTGACCAGCGCGCCCAGCCCTAGTAACGCTAGGAAATCGCCCCCGTATCTGACGCACGTGCTGCCGACCTCTGGCTTGATGAGGAGACACTGTTGCGCGATCTCCATGACTTTGACGGAGTTGAACGTAGAGGTCTGGTACGTCTTCCCCTTGGCCTTAATTGTGGGCTACACCGTTCTGCCCGAGCAGCCCTGTGCGCGGGGGTTTCGTACACAATTCCAAGTCCGTCCCCATGCTGTAGTTGCCGCGCAGAGCTTGTTCCGTGGAGGTTGCAACGGAACTCCTAGACTGCTGCTGCCATTCTGACCTCTGGGCCCTCGTCCGCCCATCGGGTGGCCAGGAGCTCCTCTGTGGCCGCTGCGCTGCCTCTGGCCACTTCACTCAGCAAGTTGAACCTGCCGTGCCGTCTGTTCGTGACCCCCCCAGTGCTCACCGTGGTAGCTGTAATGACGGGCATCCTGGTGGCCAGGGATAGGTTCAGCTGCTCGAACGTGCCCCGTGGGCGCCCAGCCTGCCGCGTCGGCGCCGCGCTGGCCGCGGGGGCTGCCTCCGCGCCCCCCGCCAATGGCAGTGGGGGCCCCGCGGGCTTGGCCGGGGGGGTCGCTACCGCGCGGGCTGGCAGCGCCAGCGGCGCGAGGACTGCCGCTGGCTCCCCGGAGGTCTTCGCCCACTTTCTGGCTGGCCCCGGGCTCTCGGTCTGCATGCGCTTGGCGATGGTGCTGATGCCCTTCTTCTTTCTGCTGGTCGCTGCAGCCGCCCTCTTGGGTAGTGCCTTGAGCGCCCGGCGGCTCGGCGCCCGCCGAGGAGCCGCAGCCCGCCGGGCCCCCATGGCGGGAGGGGGGAAGAAGGGAGACACGAGGGGCCGCAAGGGGCGAAGGGCCGGAGGGAGCGGCGCCCGCCCGGGCAAGGGGACCCCTTGACCTTCCCCTCCTCCTTGAGCCAAAATGGCTTGAGCCAAAGGAGCTCCCCCTCTTCGTCTTCCTGCTCCTCCTCCTCCTTTCTCTACATTATCCTTACATCCTCTCTTCTTCCGAGTCCTCCTCGTCCCCTGTTTACTCCTCCTGCCCCCCTCCTTTCCCAAGATACCGGCAACGCAATCCTTTTTTCCATTTCATGCTCCCTGACTTCTCTGATCAAGGCAATTCGCCAGGGCAAAGTTGCTGGACAGGCTGGCGTGGATGCGCGGGGCTTGAAGAGGTCGTTGCGGGCTCAGACGGCATGCAAAAATCCGCCGCCGCGCTTGTGCGGCATTGGTTTGTTCAGTGAACGTGGTTTGGGTCGCGGGTGGGTCGCGGGCTCTCCACCTCCACCTGGAACTAACGCAAAAGCAGCCCGCCGCAGGCGCAGAAAAAATTGGTTTGCACACTGAACGTGGTTTGGGTCGCGGCTGGGCCGCGGGTTCTCCACCTGGAACGAATGCAAAAGATGCCCGCCGCAGGCGCCGAAAATGTTTGTTTGTATTTTGAACGTGGTTTGGGTCGAAGGTGGGTCGCGGGTGGGTCGCGGGTGGGTCGCGCGGTGGGTCGCGGGGTGGGTCGCGGGGTAGGTCGCGGGTGGGTCGCGGGTGGGTCGCGGGTGGGTCGCGGGGTGGGTCGCGGGGTGGGTCGTAAGGTGGGTCGCAGGGTGGGTCGCGGGCTCTCCACCTCCACCTGGAACTAACGCAAAAGCAGCCCGCCGCAGGCGCCGAAAAAATTGGTTTGTACACTGAACGTGGGTTTTGGGTCGCGGTTGGGCCGCGGGTTCTCGTCCGGGAAGGAATGTAAAAGATGCCCGCCGCAGGCGTCGGAAAATGTGGTTTGCACACTGAAGAACGTGGTCGCGGGTGGGCCGCGGGCTCCCCACCTGGAAGGAATGCAAAAGATGCCCGCCGCAGGCGCCGAAAAATATGGGTTGTACCCTGAACGTGGTTTGGGTCGCGAGTTGGTCGCGGGGTGGGTCGCGGGCTCTCCACCTGGAACGAATGCAAAAAAAAACCAGCCGCAGGCGCCGAAAATGCTCAGAAGAAGAAGAATACGCTGGCCTCCTTGTGGGGCCATCAGGCTGCGAGGGTCAGGTTTGCTGCTCCCTGCACCAGTTCCAGTCTCGAGCTTCCAGTGTTGCAATCTGGCTGTCTGCTTCCTATTCTAACTTGTTGAAGTCCGCGCGGGGGGGGGAGCCGAAAAGGACACGGTGACCACCCCCGAATCGCGTTGTCTGAATTCCTGCGGGGCCGTGGGACATGTAACAATAAACAAAATCGCGCTCCCGACGCGACAATCCTTGGTAAAGTACATTGTGTTCGCGTCCCCGGGGCCACGATCCCTTGTAACTTGCACCACGCTCGCGCCCCCGAAGCCACGATCCTTTGCGAAATACTTCATATTCGCGGCCCCGAAGCCACAATCCCTCACGCATTGCGCCACGTTCGGGCACCCGAAACCACGATCCCTCGCAAAATATACAAAATGTGCGCCCCCGGGGCCACGATCTCTTCAAATTTCACTACATTCGCGCTTATGCTGCAACGACCCCCCGTACATTACGCCACAATTGCGCTTCCGAGGCCACGACCCCTCATACATAAACAATAGTCGCGCCCCCGAGGCTAGTAATCCATGCAATGTATGCAATTGTTGCGTCCCCGAGGCAAACAACCCTCGCGCATTACACCGTACTCGCGCCCCCGAGGCCATTCATCGACCACCGCAAATTAAACAATGCATGCGCCCCCGAGGCAACAAACCATCGTACATTACTCGAGTCTTGCGTCCCCGAGGAGACACCGAAGCGAGAATTCATCGTAAAGTATGGAATGTTCGCGTCCCCGAGGCCACAAACCCTCACATATTGCTCAATGACAGCGTTCCCAAAGCCAGAATCCCTGGTAGATTACTCGAAATTCGCGTCCCCGAGGCCACACATCCCCGCTTATTGCTGAAGTCGCGCGCCCCCGAGGCACCCTCCAAACTGCTTCCGACGGCATCAGACGGGCCATGAGCCCACCAAGACGGCCCAAGATGGCCCTAAGATGGCCTAAGAGGCCTCCAAGAGGGCCTCCAGGAAGGCCCGAAAAGGCCAAAATCATGTGTTTCCCATGAGTTTGAATGATTTGGGCATTTGCTCCACGTCGCCCTTCCGACGGCCCGAGACGGCCCAAGAGCCCGCAAAGATCGCCTAAGAGGTACCCAGTGTGGCCCCAGAACGGCCCAGGAGGCCCCCAAGACGGCCCCACGAGGCCCCCAAGACGGCCCAAGAGGCCTCCAAGACGCTCAAGATGGCCTCCAAGACGGCCCTGGAGCATCCCAAGAAAGCCCCAAGTCGGCCCAGCCTACCCCACCGTGTTCCCCGAACGCTTTCCAAACCGATTCGGGGAACACATGTGTTCATTCTTGTTTCCCAAAGAAATGCTGAGGCGAAGACAACATATCGCGTGGGCAGTTTGCCCAACACAACCCGCAGATAACGCTACAATTAAATAGGCTTTGGGCTGGCGAGGGCAGAAGCGATGGCTACAGAGCAAGTAAAGCGGACCACTGAAATGAACAATACCGTGCACTGCTATGTGCATTCTTGTTTTCCAGAGAAATGCTGAGGCGAAGACAACATGTCGCGTGGGCAATTTGCCCAACACAACCCATCTTCATGAATAAAACCCCGTCTTCAAGCAATGTACTGGATTACCGCATCAAATTCCAAAGGCGGCTGGCCCGCAGGGACACGTAGCTGTGAGAAAGTTCACGAGCGAGCACAAAGCACAGGCGAGGGGGATAGGACGCCTCAAGATGGGTAAGGAAGCCGGCCTTGGACTTACCAGTCAGAACAAGGTGGGGCTTGCCAGAAAACGCACAGACCCCCTACCTTTACAGTGCCAGGTGTACAGCTCTGGCGGAACAGATATGTTGGCGAGAGCCATGCGCGTGCGAGCTCGGAACGGGCGGCCAGCGCCGCAATAGTCAAAGACTACAGTCTGAACATTAGCGTGCGAAAGAAAACGTTGGCGGCTGGGGAGCAGCCACAGCAGACTTGACGCAGGATGGTCCTCACCCGCTGGCAGTTGGCGTCTCAGGGCGATGCCGAGCAGCAGGGCAATTCTGTCAGCCAGAATATTAGAGGTGACGACATCATGATAGTCGGCCCCTTCTAAATTCGGGAGGCCTCGCAGGTGCTCTTTAGTTAGCGAGCGTCGAGGCATGACACTGTGTGGCGGAGCCCTGCGTGCTTGAGGCAATTTTTCACACGGGCTACCTGAAAACATGCCCCAGCTGATGCCAGATTCAAGCCAGCCACGAAGAGTGCGGAAGACATCATCTTGGAGCAAATCACATTCGGGCCCTAGGAGCACGTCGATTGAAACTACGGCATGCCCCCTCTTTTTCAGCTCCGTGGCAAGGCCACCAGAGCCTGAGAAGAGGTCGAGGAAAGCCCGCCGCTCGCCGAGGCGGCTGGCGCGGAGGGCAGCACGTAGGCGTTGTCGAAGAACCGCTGTGCGGCTGCCGCCCACACCTCGCAGCCTTTCCTCTGGGCGTTGCTGAGGCTCCGCATGACCAGCGCCAGCCGTCCTGCCTTGTCGTACCTCCGCACCGATGACGCCGCCCTCCACATTCCTCGCCTTTGCACCTCCAGCAGTGAGCGGCAGCCTGCCGCGCGGTCGCGGGTCGCGCCGCCGTGCCTCAGGCAGTGCGGCGAGAAGCCCAAACCTTCGAGCTTGAGGTAGTGACGGGCGGCATGGAAGTCGGCCAGGAGCTGAGGGTAGGAGATCTGAAACAGGAGCTCGCCCTCGCGTCGAAGCCGTTGCAGCCGCACGGCCGCGCGCCCAATCCAGTGATGTCGAGGAAGGTCGAAAGCCACCGTGGAGTCGAACTCGCCCGTCTTGGAGCTGGTAGCGAGCTCCTCTGGGTGCAGAATGAGGAGAGGGTACTGTAGCACCCCGACCTCGTGGCACCTGCCTGGAAGCAGCTGCTCGGCCAGCAAGGTCGCGGCCTCGGACGGGCGCAGGTAGCACTCGAAGGCCACCAGGATGCACAGACCCGAGTCCGGCTTGCCCATCGAGACCAGCACGGCAGCCATCGCAAGAGCGATTGCCCGCGGCAGTGGCGGGCGGGAGTGTCCCGGCTGGAGGCGCGTCCAGCCTGACAGCGGCGCGTGCGCCGCGGGAAAGAGGCGCCGCGCGGGGCCTCCCAGCGCAGGCTCGCCCCAAGCCACGGCACAAAGGGTGCGTGAGAACGCCTCCTGGCCCATGCCGCGGTCGAAGGCCCACTCGGAGTAGTCCACCAGCGTCTCGTCCCACTGCGCGGGGGTCCAGCACGGAAGCGCAAGTAGCCGTAGCCAGCCCAAGAGCATGGTCAGCGCCCGCAGGTACGAGAGCTCGGTAGCGCGTCGCACCCGACGCGCCGCCAGTCGCGAGAGCCGCGGACGCAGCCGCGCCCGCCGCGCACATACCTCTGCGGGCCTGTCGCTCAGCGGCGCTGGGGATGTCCAGCCCTGGCGGGAGCCCAAAGGGCCTGGCAGCCCGTGCCCGCCGCGCGAGCCGAAGGCGCGCCGGGTGGTTGGCGCTGGCCTGGGCGCCGCTGCATCGCGGGCGCGCTTGCCGTAGGCGGGGTTGACCCAGTACGCCGTCGCTGGCATGGTTGTGCTCCCTCGAGCCGATGGCTCCGGATAGAGGACCAGCCTGCTGTGTGCCTTTCTCACCCTTGGCTGAGGGTGTACCGCATTGTCCGACACCGTGTTGCTTTCCCATGCCTGGCATGAACCTGCGAGAGGGAGCATCTCCAGGATTGAGCTCTGAAGGAATCCAGCTGAACCTGAGCTGCATCCCGGAGGCGATAGAGATGGCAGAGATCTCCCGACAGACGACGTTGAGTGCAAAATGTGCCGCTCTGCCCTTTTCGCATGCCGATGTCCGTGCAGCTGCGAATTGCGAGCAAGGCGCCGCACAGCCCAGCGCGCCCCCTCAGCCTCCAAGACGTGGATGGCCGCGGCCCGCCGCCAGCGACGCGCGGCCGCGACCGCCCATGGGTCGGCCAAGAGCCGCGCTGCAGGCACCTCCTCGAAGTGGGTCAGGGTGCCCTCTGCGGTGACGTCGGCAGCCGAGGCGTGCAGGAGCTGCTGCTCGACCAGCGTGTCCCTGGGGGCGTAGTCGGCCGTCAGGACCCCTCTAAAGCGGCTGCGCTCCGAGAGGCTGCCGATACGCCGATCTTCACTGACGGGCCACAGCTGCTCCACGTTGCCGAACCCCCAAGGCGAGGCGTCGGTAGCAGTGACGCGCTCGCACCAAGTTCGGCTCAGCGAGACTGTCACGCAGGGAAGTAGCGGCCTGAACCAGGAAAGCTCCCGCCTCACCGACGACCAGAGTGGCTGCCGCTTGTCACGCGACCGCCTGCAGAACTCATCGATCGCATGAAATAGCGAGAGCATGTGCCGCTGCAGCATGACGGCGGCCGTGATATGGCCCATCAGCCTCTCGAGCTCGCGCCCAGTGACGAGCCGCCCCGGCGTGAGCACAAAATCGAGGCTGAACTTCAGTCGCCAGAACTTGCTCTGTGAAAGACGCCAAGTGGCCGAGGGCTTGTGCAACACGAAACCGAGCAGGGTGTGCAGGTCCCCATCCTCGCGGTCGAAGGAAGCCTGAATGCCCCGCGCACTGAGCGCGGCCAACATGCGCTCCACCTCCAGGGTGGGGTCGCCGCTGCCTGAAGTGAAGACCGCGACGTTGTCGATGTGCAGCATCTTGGCGGTGGAACACTGAGCCCCGAGCGCCGGCGTGGGAACCTTGTCGGCGATCCAGGGCGCCTCCGGGCTGACGTTGCTCAGGACGTGTGCGTGGGCATCCTGAATGAGGTGCACGGCCCACGACCAGCCAATGGGCACCACTCTGGCAACGAAGTGGATCATCTCGGACGGATCCGACACCCCGAGATGCTGACGGGCTGCTGGACCCCAAAAACGTGCTTGGACCGCTGGCAAGCCGAAGAAGGCACGTGCCCAGCAAGGCAGCTCGTACTGGTAGAAGCAGCATTCCACGTCGCCTGAGGCCACCGCGACCCCCTCAGCAGCATCAACCTCCAAGTTCGCCAGGGCCTCCCCGCTCGCGAGCAGGGTGTAGGGAGGGTCCTGGAAATGGGCATTGGACCTACGAGTGTCGAAGATCAGCCGAAGCGACGAGTCCTTCTTTGGGGCGAAAAAGATGCCAGCCCGCTCGATGATGCTGCCCTCGGACGCGCGCTCGATGATGCCCGCGGCGAGCAGCTCAGAAAGGCACTCGCCGAACTGGTAGCCATGTCGCTGCAGCACTGGGTCCATGGCACAGACCCTGGGCGCCTCACCCAAAGCAAAATTGCGAGCCTCAGGCTCTCGTAGCATCTGCGACGAATCAGACAGAAGAGACTGCAGGTGCGGCGGCAGCACGTCAACAAGCCGCACTCGCCCTGCCGCAGCCCGCGGGAGCGCCATGGCCCCCTTCCTGTAGGTTGTCGATGCACCTTCGGCCATGACGTCTGCATAGCCGTTCCGCGAAGCCTGGAGCGTCTGCCACGCCCCCAGGGGAGTCACCTCGGAAGGCGGCGGCCCCACCCTGCCGTAGAGCTGCGCGAGGCGCCGCACGGCGGCGACCTGGCAGGCCGTGGGGGCCCCCGCCGGAGTGTCCGCCCCCCGGCCACCGAGGTCGTTCAGCGCGGCGATGCCCTCGCGCAGCCAGACCTCCTGGTGCCGGCGCTGCCGCCCGCGCCGCCCGCCGCCATGCGGCAGAAGGCGCGCCGCCGCCCCATGCAGCAGCTCGTCGAGCGTCGCGCCAAGCGGGAGAGGCAGGACGTCGCGCGCCACACTGTTGTCCGAGACTCCTTGCGCCGAGGCCGCCATCACCACCGCAGTGGCGGCCCTCCCCTGAGATTGCGCCCGCTGCCCGGGGGGGCTGCAGCGGCCGCGCACGAGCCGAACAACTGGCGGCGGGCTAGGCCCGCCCGCGGCCGCGGCCGCCACGGCCTCGGCCGCTCGGGCCACCGCCGCTGCCAGCGCCGCCGCCGCCACCACCTTGATCACCTCCTCCTGGTGCGACGTCGGCGCCGCTGCTGCCCGCGCCACGTGCCATGCGGCGCTCCTCTCGGCCCTTGCGCCGCTCCTTCAGGATGGCGCTCTCCTCCTGCATCCTCTCCGCCACGTGCTTCTCCAGGGACGGCGACGCGAGCGCATGCCCCTTGGAGCGGGTGCCCCCGAGGAAGATCCTGCGCTCGTCCAGCCAGCCATCCGAGTCGGCAGTGGCCCCAGCGGTGCCCGCGACCTCGACCTGGCGGAGCGCCTCCGAGTACACCTCCTCCCAGAGCTGGAAGCGCCTCGCCGCCAGCTCAAACGCCTCGCAGCCCGGGAGGTTGAGCTAGTCAGCTGTCGATGCCGTCTCGATGAGCTCGCACAGGAACAAGTGCTCGTCGTCCCCTGGGTCGGCCGCGGCCAACCCCAGGATCTGACGCCACCGGTAATGTCGCTGGACGGGCCCGCTCCCCTGCCCCAGGTGTGCCTGAAGCAGCCCGCCGATGGTAGCGGGCCCCTGCACGCGCCACTCCTCCGTGGAGAGAACCTCGCGCTGCTCCGCGACGACCTCCGCGAAGGCACGACGCCGCTGGCCCGTCCCGCTCCGACGGTACCTCAGGATGCGCTCGTCCAGCACGTCCTCCTGGGCGTCTCGAGGCGAGAGCGGCACCTCGTCGGAGAGGGTCCCCACTCGGCCAAGCGTGATGACCCCCTCTGGGAACGAGGCCAGCGCGCGGTCGTCCATGGCGTAGACGGTGGCGAACGTGACGTCCACTGAAGAGCCTCGCCTGAACCCCAGCCGCGACTCCAGGGCGACCCAGCTGTCATCCAGCTGCACCGGCGGGAGGGGACCTCCGCCGGCGCCCGACCTGGGCGGGGGGGCGCGGCCTGGCGGCGGCAGCGGCGGCTCCGCTGCGCCGGCCGCCCAGCCGACCTCGGAACCACGCGGGGTGTCCGTGCCGCCGTCCGCTACCGCAGGGAATGAGTGCTGCTTCCCCCGCAGCCGGCGGACAACCCCTGGTGGCCTCGCCACTGGATTGTGGCGGACCTCGTGGCGCTCGGACTCCGCCAGCCGCACCCCCTCGTCCACGAGGGCGATCAGCCCCTGCTCGTCCATGTCGAAGCGGTACAGCATCTTCTTGCGCAGCTGCGGCGGCGCCCCGCCACGAGGACCAGCTCGGTGGATCTCCACGTGGTCGTCGTCGGCGAAGTCCTCGACGTACACGTCGCCATCAGGCGTCGCCACCGCCCATCGTGAGCCGTCCACGTGGGCGCACAGAAGCCTCTCGTGGTACTGCTTCTCCTCCAGGCTGTACAGACAGTACAGCTTGTCCCACGGGCGGGCCGTCTTCAGAAGATCGGGCAGCCCTTGAGGAACCATGGCCATGGAGCCTGCCTGTGAGGTAGCCTATGATGAACGCGGCAAACACCGCGAGGCACACGACTGAGGCGATCTCCCAGAAGACTGGCGGGCACTCTGACGGCGCGCTCCGAAGCTGCTCAGGGCCACACCTGTCCAACTGTCGCTGCAGGACCTGAATCAGCTCTCTGTCGTGCTCACCCGTGAAGGCACACGTGCAGTGGCACTCCTTATGGAGAGAAGTCCAAAGGTTGGCGGCGTACAATCCTGTCGCAGCCCAATATCGGACTGCAGGGGCGAGACCGAGGGCGAGCCCTGCCATAACAAGCGCAGCTTCGAGCAGAAGCGATGGCTACAGAGCAAGTAAAGCGGACCACCGAAATGAACAATACCGTGCACTGCTAGTCCGATAGCTTGGCAGGCCTCTGGCCACAACGTTCGGCCACATAGGCGTTTCCAAAAAGGCAGGGGGCGGCGGTGATTCGCCGTAGGCGTCTTCGATCCGCCGCCCCCTGTTAGCTTGTCACAGGGGCGCGCGGCGTGCTGCATCCTTTCCCTTTTGGTTCTTTTAAAACAACTCCCTGGGGCTTCGGCCCGTCCCGCCGGCCACCCGAAAGGCCGCACAAGGCAGCATAAACCACACTAACGTCCACAAAACATTATCCAAGACGGCTCAGGATGGCTTCTAAGATGGTCACGTTGGCTTAAGATGGCCTTCAAGATGACCTCCAAATCGCCAAAGAAAGTCCAAGATGGCTTCCAAGACGGCCCGAGAGATTCCAAGATGCCTTCAAGTTCGTCCAGGAAGTCTCCAAGACGGCCCAAGATGGCTCCAAGATGGCCTCAGACTGGCCAAGAGGCCCCCAAGAGGCCTCAAAGAGCTCCACCAGGAAGGCCCGAAGAGGCCAAACTCATTGATTGTCCCTCGGGTTTTGAAGGATGCTTGCATGTTCTTCTTTTCAGCTCTCCGACGGCCCGAGACGGCCCAAGAGGCCCCCAGCATCGCCCCAAGAGCGCCCAAGAGGCCTCCAAGATGGCCCCATGACAGGCCAAGAGGCCCCCGAGAGGGCCCCAACAAGACCCCAAGACGGCCCAAGAGGCCCCCAAGACGCCCAAGATGGCCTCCAAGACGGCGAATATGGCCCCAAGATGCACCCAAGGCGGCCCCAGATGGCCTGAAGATGGCCTTAGATTGCCCAAAAGGCCCGCCAGAGGCCTCCAAGACGACCCAAGACCCCTCCAAGACGTCCTCAAGGAGGCCCCAAAGCTCGGAAACCACCTGGTCCGATAGCTCGCCCGACTCCGTGTTCCCCGAAGGCTTGCGAAACCCACTCTGGAAACGCGTGGCCCGATAACTTGGCCAAGCTCAAACCCAACATTCGGCCACGCAGGCGCTTCCAAAAAGGCAGGGGGCGGCGGTGATTCGCCGTAGGCGTCTTCGATCCGCCGCCCCCTGTGCTTGTCACCGGGGTGCCCAGCGTGCTGGATCCTGTCGGTTTTGGTTTTGGTTTTGGTTTTTTGTCCAAAAGAGCTCTCCCCCGGGATTTCGGCCCGTCCCGCCGGCCACGCGGAAAATGCTACAGTCAATGCCTTTCACGCCCAAGATGGCCTCAAATGGACTCCAACGGCCCAAGATGGTCCAAGATGGCCTTCGAGTCCACCTAAGATGGTCCAAGATGGCCTCCAAGACGGCCCAAGAGGGTCCGCGATGCATCCAAGTCCGCCCCCAACACGGCCCAAGAGGCCCACAAGATCGCCCCCCGAGCGCCCAAGAAGCTTCCGATTGGCCTCAGGACTGCTCAAGAGGCCACCAAGACGGCCCCAAGAGAGCCCTAAGACGGCCCCAGCGGGCTTCAAGGCACCCAAGATGGCCTCCAAGACGCCCAAGACGCCCAAGATGGCCGTGAAGCGCCCCAAGACGGCCCCAAGTCGGGGTCAGACGGGCCAGGAGCCCACCAAGACGGCCGATGATGGCCCTAAAATGGCCCAAGACGGCCCAAGAAGCCTCCAAGAAGGCCTCCAGGGAGGCCCGCAGAGGCCAAAATCATTGATTGTCCTGAGGTGGTTGAAGGATTTGGGCATTTGCTTCATGTCGCACTTCCGACGGCCCGAGACGGTCCACGATCCCCCAAAGATCGCCCCAAGGTTGCCCAAGAGGCCTCCAAGATGGCCCCAGAACGGCCCCAACAGGCCTCCAAGCGGTCTCAAGAGGGCCCCGAGAAGGCCCCAGCGGGCTCCAAGACGCCCAAGATACCCTGCAAGACGCCCAAGACGCCCAAGATGGCCGTGAAGCGCCCCAAGACGGCCCCAAATCGGGTCACAGAGGCCCACAAGAACGGCGTCCGACGGCGTCAGACGGGCCAGGAGCCCACCAAGACGGCCGAAGATGGCCCTAGATGGCCCAAGAGGCCTCCAAGAGGGCCTCCAGGAAGGCCAGAAGAGGCAAAAATAAATGAGTGTGCCTTAGGTTTGTGAAGGATTTTGGTTTTCGCTCCTTCTCGGCCTACCGACGGCCCGAGACGGCCCAAGAGCCCACAAAGATCGCCCCAAGGTCGCCCAAGAGGCATCCAGGATGTTCCCAGAAAAGCCCAAGAGGCTCCCAAGACGGTCCCAAGAGGGCCCCAAGACGGCCAAAAAGGCCTTCCAAGACGCCCAAGATGGCCTCCAAGACGGCCCTGGAGCACCCCAAGAGGTCCCCAAGTCGGCCCGGAGAGGCCCCCGCGACAGCTTCCGACGGCGTCAGACGGGCCAGCAGCCCACCAAGACGGCCAAAGAGGCTCCGGAGAAGCCCCCAAGGGCCCCCAAGAGGCCCAAGGACTCCTTCTCCTCCGCCTCCTCCTCCTCCTCCTCCTCCTCCGCCTCCTTCTGATCTTCCCCGCCGTCCTACCCCAAGTGTTCCCCGAAGGGTTTCCACAACGGCTGAAAAAAACATGGTCCGATAGCTTGGCAGAGCTCTTGCCATAACGCTCGGCCACATGGGCGATTCTAGAAGGCAAGGGGCGGCGGTGTCTCGCCATAGGCGTCTTCGATAACGCCAACGTCTCAATGTGCGCTGATGATTCCTATCCGCGCCCGCATGATGTTCCCAGATGCGCCAAGGCAGCGCCGAGCCGCACCGACGCGACTCTGATAGATCTGATTATGGTAGAGAGGGGACCAGCGGCAGGGGGGCGAAGCCCTTACGGATAAGAAGAAGACGAAGTTGCCAAATCTTGCCTGTGAAAGCCCAGAGCTTGGAAGTACGAGTACTGTGCCCTGCTGTTCGCTGCGAGGGTATGAATATCAATGGATACACAACGTGAGATCGAAAGGACAATACGACAACCAACAATCAGAGGAATACCATACGGAGGATGATAGACACGATGGCAAAGAAAATGCAGACAAGCATCAATATCAACAGTCTCGGCTCGTTCTGTCAACCCCAAAGAAGTGTGCGCGCCCATGGGCGTGTGAGCGCCGGTCTAAATCAAGGCAACGCAATCCCCGATCCAAACCAACGATGATTGAGCCATCTAGACAACAGACAGCACGATGCGAACGTGTAAATGATCTACGAAGTCACCATAAGTCGCGCCACGCGCAGAACGGAGCGCGAAGTGAGATGAACTTCGCGCCCACCAGAGGTCCTGGACGAAAAGGGCAACACAAAAGCCCAGACCGCGAAACGCGAAGCGCAGACATCTTTGCACCGACGCGGGTGGCGCACAGAAAGAAGCATGCAGATCCCTATGCCGATGGGAAGGCCTCCCCTTCCTCCCTCCCTCCCTCTGGCTGCAGACACGTCCGCCCGCGCACTTGAATCGAGATCCCCCCTCCTCCCTCATCCCCTCCCCCTCCCTCCTCCCTCATCCCTCCCTCCTCCCTCCCTCCTCCTTCCTCCCTCCTCCATCATCCCTCCCCCCACCAGGGCCGCGCCGCTCCGAACGCCACTGGAGGCTCTCCGCGGCGGGCCGCGGCCGGGTCCTCAAGGCGGCCGCGGCACCGCGGCAGGCGTCAGGCGGGCGGCCAGCGCCCGGACGGCGGAGGGCGCGGGGGGGGGGGCTGGCCAAGACAGCGGGAGCCGCCCACGAGGAGTGGGGGAGGAAGGCGGGGAAGGGGAAGAGGGGAGGGGGGCGGGGAAGGGTAGGAGGGGGGAGAGGAGGCAGGGCGGGAGGAGCAGGGCGGAAGGGGAGGAAGGAGGAGCAGGGAGGGAAAGAGGGGGAACAAAAAGCAGCGGGGAGGAGAAGGGGTGGGAAGGGTGGGCGGGGAGGAGCAGGGGGGGAAGGGCCGCACCTCGCAAACCCCTGCTGAAGGCCCCGACAACTTCCTTGGACAACAGCAATCATACCCTCCGAAGACCCCCGCAACCCTGCCCCTCTGCCCTTCCCTCTCACCATCTCCGTGCCTCATCATTCTCCTCCTCCTCCTGCTCCTACTGTTCCTCATCATCAGGATCGTCCCCAGCGGCATCATCATTCTTATCACTGTCATCAGCATCATCAGCATCATCATCATCATCATCATCATCCTCCTCAGCATCATCACCATCATCATCAGCATCATCGTCACCACCACCTTCATCATCATCAGCAGCATCATCGTCATCACAAAAATCATCATCATCATCATCATCATCATCATCATCATCATCATCATCATCATCATCATCATCATCATCGTCAGCATCATCATCATCATCATCGTCGTCAAAAATAGCATCAGCACCATCATCAGCATCACCATCACCATCAGCAGCAGCATCGTCAGCATCGTTATCATCAGCATCAGCTTCATCACCACCATCATCACAATCACCATCAGTATCGTCCTGATCATCACAATCAGCATCATTATCATCACCAGATTCAGCATCGTCATCATCAGCCCCACCACCACCGCTATTGCCATCAACATCACCATCACCATCACCATCATCATCATCATCATCATCATCATCATCCTAATCAGCATCGTCGTCATCGTCAGCGCCATCATCATCAGCATCATCATCAGAAGCAGCATCAACATCATCGTCGTCAACAGCAGCATCATCCTCATAATCAGCATAGTCAGCAGCAGCAGCATCTTCGTCTTCACAACCATCATCACCACCATCAACAGCAGAAGCAGCACACGGCGCATCCTCCTCCACCACCTCACCATCATCACCATGATCATCATCAGCATCACCCTCACCATCACCATCACCATCACCATCAACAACAGCAGCATCATCAGTATCCTCGTCTTCGTCTTCGTCATCGTCATCTTCAGCATCGTCGTCATCAGAATCCTCGTCACCAGCAGTGGCATCACCGTCGTCAGCATGATCGTCATCAT